CCTGCTCGAGCACGTCAGGTCGACGCCCATGCCTACGTATCGTGTATGACAGAGCTTGCTTCATGCTACCCATCGTGGCATATGAATTGCGATGCGGATGAGAATCTGGTCCAATTGGCGTATTTGATGGACACTTTTTTGATAGACGTGCGGAAGGGAAGGGAAATGTAATTTTACCGCATGTTGCCATGTATAGTCAGGGCATAGCATCCGTCTTATTAATGATCTACCAATTCACATTTGTGCATCCAACACTGTGACCTGTGTTTGTAGTCTGCCATATATTTGCTCAGCAGCCATAAGAGAATCTTGGGCTTTAATACATGATGATCCTAGTGCTTTCGCTAACCTAAGAGCTGTATTCCGTAGAGATCTTGTTCTACTGGTAAAGTTTCTAATTAAGATCTATTTAAGGTCATTGTCTCCTAAGGCCTCCACTACTGGCGGCAATAAGACCTAAGACCTTTATCCTAAACAACAAGAATGATTGATCTTGAGCCCTAAGCTCACCTAAATATTACTTAGGATAGACGTCCTTGGTTTTTTTTTTTGTGACCCTTCTACACCTGTAGAGACTCGGTCAGTCAAAGCTTTGTATTAAACCCAAGATGATATTTGTAGGTGCAGGGTAGCCAATGTGGAGCTGTGAGCTCTTCTGAGTGTCCCGCCATGAATGTTAGAATCACCAACGTCAATGGTGGGGCAGTTTTAACTTGGAGCTTTCATCACTTCAATATTCATTTTATCATAACGAACTCAACCTCACAGTCTTGCCTATAACCTGACTCAAAAATTAATAGGCATGGCTGGTATCGACGCTCTCCTTGAAAGAGGGCCTGAAGAGACCGGTCAACGCCAACCCGCAACTCAAGATCCAGAAGAGCTCAAGCGACACCTAGAGGAGCTCCTCCTCACACCCTCACCTGAGTTCTCACCCGAGTGGCTCAACCGACTTCAGCAGCGATGGGATTATGAGGCTGATTACACTTCGCTTTACAAGATCGCGCCGCCGCATACTCGGACTCTCACCAGATTCCAGCGTCATGGACTTGAAGGCCGTGTTACAGGCTACAAGAACGTCACTGTCCCCGCAAACAGTGCTACGGCCAAGAACTCGACAAGTCTGTCTCGAAAACCTGCCAACCGCGCTGATTTCGTGAGAGGCGCCGCTGGTTTCTTCCCCTTTGCTCCTGGTGGCCTCGAGGGCATCGAAGCAACGGCGGCATTTGAGGATCAAGTTCACACAGGTGCTGCAGGAGGTGCTGCAGAGACCAGTGGTACAGGAAACAAGCTTGAACGAGTGATCCAGCTTGGCTCCGAGGGTGGATTACTAGAAAAGGCTCCTGGAATGAGCAGAGGTATCGACTTCACTAAGAAAAAGACAAGTATCAGCCAAGAAGATGCCAACGCTGTCAAGGAGGTACTCGAAGAAGATCCGGAAGACGCCAAGGTCGAAGAAGGTGGTAATGAGGCTTCAACAGACGTTACTACTCCGGATGCAACTCCCGACGAAGATGGGGAGGATGGCGATGATATCGACGACATCCTGCCTGTTGAGTTCCCTGCCCTGGAACCACATGGAGTTCTTGCAGCCTCGAGTGCCCGCAAAGCTGGTCGCGAGTGGGCGCATATGGTCGACATCAACCACGATATGTCCAACTTCAGAGAGCTTGTACCTGACATGGCTAGAGAGTGGCCTTTCGAACTCGACACTTTCCAGAAGGAAGCAGTGTACCACCTGGAGAACGGCGATTCAGTGTTCGTTGCAGCACATACTTCAGCCGGCAAGACTGTTGTGGCAGAGTACGCCATCGCACTGGCTGCTAAACACATGACCAAGGCCATTTACACTTCGCCAATTAAGGCACTGAGTAACCAGAAGTTCCGTGACTTTCGACAGACCTTTGACGAGGTGGGAATTCTCACTGGTGATGTCCAGATCAACCCAGAGGCTAGTTGCCTCATCATGACAACGGAGATTCTTCGAAGTATGCTCTACAGAGGCGCCGATCTAATCCGCGATGTCGAATTTGTGATATTTGACGAAGTCCACTATGTCAACGATTTTGAACGAGGTGTTGTCTGGGAAGAGGTCATCATCATGCTGCCTGAACATGTGTCTCTCATTCTGCTGTCCGCCACAGTTCCAAACACTAAGGAGTTTGCTTCGTGGGTTGGACGAACGAAGCAAAAAGACATCTACGTTATTTCTACACCGAAGCGACCCGTTCCCCTGGAGCATTATCTCTGGGCAGGAAAGAACATCCACAAGATCGTGGACTCGGAGAAGAAGTTCATCGAAAAGGGCTGGAAGGACGCACACTTTGCTATTCAAGGAAAGGACAAGCCAAAGCCTGCAGAGACTACTGTCGCCACTCGTGGAGGCAATCCCCGAGGTAATCAACGTGGTGGTACTCAACGAGGCGGCCCCCAGCGTGGTGGTCGTGGAGGAGGCCAACAGCAGAGAGGAGGTAGTCAGCAACGTGGTCGGGGCGGACCACCACGAGCGAGCCATGCTCCTGGTCATATGGGCCGTGGAGGCCGCGCTGGAGGTTTCACGTCTGTTGCACAAGACAAGAACCTTTGGGTTCATCTTGTGCAGTATCTCAAGAAGTCAACCCTCCTGCCAGCTTGTATCTTCGTCTTCTCGAAGAAGCGATGCGAGGAGAACGCAGATGCCCTCAGTAACCAAGACTTCTGCACTGCTGCTGAGAAGAGCCATATTCACATGATCATCGAGAAGTCAGTTGCACGGCTAAAGCCTGACGACCGACAGCTTCCACAGATAATCAGGCTGAGGGAGCTTCTAAGTCGAGGTATTGCTGTCCATCATGGTGGACTGTTGCCTATTGTCAAAGAGTTAGTTGAGATCTTATTCGCCCAGACATTAGTTAAGGTACTGTTCGCTACAGAAACATTTGCTATGGGTCTTAACCTTCCTACACGAACAGTAGTCTTCTCTGGGTACCGCAAGCATGATGGGCATTCGTTCCGAAATTTGTTGCCAGGCGAGTATACTCAAATGGCTGGTCGCGCTGGCCGTCGTGGTCTGGATACCGTTGGTTCAGTCATCATTGTGCCACCAGGAGGTTTGGACGATGCTCCTCCTGTTGCAGATCTCCGAAACATGATTCTGGGAGAGCCGTCTAAGTTGCGGTCACAGTTCCGACTGACATACAATATGATTTTGAATCTTCTCCGAGTGGAGGCGTTAAAGATTGAGGAGATGATCAAGCGCAGTTTCTCTGAACATGCTACTCAACAGCTGCTCCCCGAACACGAGAAGGACGTGAAGCTTGCGCAAGCAGATTTGGCCAAGGTCAAGAGAGATTCTTGCGAGATCTGTGACGTTTCGATGGACGAATGCCATCAAGCTTCCCAGGACTTCAAGAGACTCACATTTGAGCTATACAAGGGTTTGCTGTCTATCCCTATTGGACGTAGGATGTTCTCTCAGCACCGCCTTGTCGTCTTCAACTGGGACGGCATTCGCTCCATCGGTATCCTCCTCGCAGACGGGGTTAGTAACAAGGGAACGACGGAGGATCCAACACTGCACGTATGCGCCATCAAGTCACTTCGAGATCGAAGAGATGCTACCGATCAGCTTCCTTTCATCCCTGCGTTCCGCAAATACCTTCACGAACTTCCCAAGAGTAAGAAGCGAGTGCAGACCAAGACTCTTCACGTTCCTCTGAGTGACGTGGAGTGTCTCACAAGATGGGTGACCAAGGGCATTATTCCTGAGATCTTCCAGGGTGGAGATGGCTATCAACAAGCGAAAGACAAACTCCAGGAGCTTTGTGGTTCGTGGGATGATAGATGGGAGGAACTCGATCTCTCTCGAATCAAGCAACTGCAACTACAGGAGATTGTGGAGAAAAGAGTTGAATTGGTCAAGACGATATCGAACTCGCCAGCTGAGAAGTGCCCAGACTTCTTGAAGCACGTAAGTTCACTTCAACCTCCCTAAAAAAACTTCAGTACTGACTATATGGACAGTTCGCTATGTGTCACGACGAGTGGCTCATTAAGGATCATATCTCTCAGCTGAAGCAGTCATTGTCTGATCAGAACCTTCAACTTCTACCTGATTACGAACAACGAGTCCAAGTGCTTAAGGAGCTTGGCTTCATCGATGATGCCACTCGGATCCAGCTGAAGGGCAAAGTCGCCTGTGAGATTCACTCTGGTGATGAACTGGTTCTGACTGAGCTCATTCTTGACAACGTCCTCGCCGACTATGAACCCGCCGAGATTGCCGCTCTCCTTTCGGCGTTTGTATTCCAAGAAAAGACTGACATAGAGCCATCCCTGACTGGCAACCTCGAACGAGGAAAGGAGAAGATTGTTGCCATCTCCGAGAAGGTGAACGATGTGCAGACCCGACTGCAAGTCATTCAGTCTGCTGATGACTCAAATGACTTTGTTTCTCGACCACGGTTTGGCATCATGGAAGTGGTCTACGAGTGGGCTCGAGGTATGAGCTTCAAAAACATCACCGGCTTGACCGATGTCCTTGAGGGAACGATTGTACGAACGATTACACGATTAGATGAGACATGTCGCGAAGTGAAGAATGCGGCGAGGATTGTGGGTGATCCCGAACTATATCAGAAGATGCAACAGGCACAGGAAATGATCAAGAGGGATATCACGGCAGTGGCAAGTCTCTACATGTAAGCCAAGCATAGTTTGGAGTATCTGGCATTTGTACGGAGCATGCAATGTACGTCACGAGTGTATAGGAGAAAGGGGAGAGCGAGTGTCATGTCTAATGTATGATGTTGATAAACAAAAAAAGAAAAATTGCGTTCATTCTCGAAGCTGGAGATGAAGATGAATTTATGTCGCCACCAAAGCCCCAACGCCAAACCTTAACCAAGAAAACGCACCTCTCCGAAAGTTGATCGTGATGTAGCAGTCATGCCTCCCTGTCGCATAAAATGATGGGCATTCAAATGTCCTAAACCCAGCAAGTTCTCCTGTGGAGGGCAAGACTATGCGCGCAGGGCTCGCAGCCTCTGCTGGAGCTTATCTTCCTCCTCAGCAGTGGGCTCGTTGGTCTGCTGGGGTTCGGCGTTCGAAGGTGTCGCCTGGTTGAGTTCCTTGCTGAGCTCAAGGCCAGCGTCGTCGGCAAGTTTGCCGAGAAGTTCGTGGACAGCATCCTCGCCAACTTGGGTGGAGGTGGACTGGGTGATGGCGTCTTGGTAGATGCCGTTGGACATGGCGTATTCCTCGTTTTGCTGCTTGAACTGCTCGAGAGTAACGAGGGTCTGGGCTACTGTTAGTGTCGGTCGATATTGTATGGATAAGAATGTGCTCACCTTTTCGGGGTTGGTGTTCTTCTGGGCCACATTCATGGTTCGCGATGACTGGGCCATCATCTGTGTCATGCGGTTCATCGAATTGTTGGCCTGAATCTGCGCAGCAGACAACTCAGCCATATCAGCCATCTGATCCATCTGCTGAGCAAGCGCCTGCTTCGACAGCAGCATCTTGGCCTTCTGGTAAGCCTTCTGCGTCTCGCCCTTCTTGAGCAGGTCCTGGATCTGCTTCTTCAGGATGGGGTCCTGCTTGGCTGCCTTTTGGGCCTCGCGGCGAGCCTGCTTGGCTTGGAAGCGAGCCTGGAACTCGACTTGCATGTCGCGGGCCATCTGACGGTTCGCCATTTTGGGTGGTAGGTTGATGGTAGGAGTCGTGGAGGGACAGGCCGTAGAAGAAGAGATGTTTTTTTACGGTTGAGTAGTAGAGTTGGAAGAGGTTGTAAATGTCATGTGAGCGTTAAACTTTAGGTGAAGCAGGCATGGAAGCGCCGAAGGCCTAGAATCAGAACCTTGACTTGGCTTGCGATGGGATGGTTGAATGCGGGGCGCCACGAAAGACAGGCTGGAGAAGTGGGCGAATGACGCAACGAACGGCGACGGATAATTTTGGCGGAACTGATAAGGCTCTGGTTGTGGCTTTGCACAGCCACTTCCAGATGGCTCGTTACATTGATCTAGGGTAGTTTTGACCACAGTCATTCAGCGAATTCATCGACGACGAAGTGATGGACAACAATGGTTTTTGACAGTAGTTAGTGCTTTGCTGAAGATCATGGAGATGCTCAATTGACTGTCTCTGGTCCTGAGGATGACCCAGACATGATATCGTACGAGGATAGTGGACAATATGCAGCTGAATTGCCAGTCAGAAAGTTAAGTACTTGACTGCATGTTCTTTCGCGTGCTTATCAATAATGCCACATGAACGACTGTCTCATAGAATTTAACATATACTTATTAGCACTAGAAGGTATGAGGACTGAAGAAATTGGCTATCTCTCGTAGCAAATTACACCGAAAGAGCTGCTATAGCTTAGACAGTGAACCATCACCTCGAGCTTCTGGAACGACACACACAAATACTTACACGCAGGAAGGATCTAACAGAATAACAGTCGACTTACATAAAGCAAGAACGAACGACTCTCGACTTGATGATTCGAGATGCGATAGTTATTGAAACGACACTGAAACATCACCTCAGGTTCTGTGACTTACTCATACGCTTTGTCGGGCTATAGCTGTTTCAATAAATAAAATTGCTACTACACAGGTTCATTCTAAAAATATCGAATATGAAACATTGACTTCAAGAGAAACAACAAACAACACACAGCAAACGTCAGTGACCTCAAGGGAACGGGCATAAACTCTACGAGAGGCCGCAGGACTCAGGATCCCGTTCAAGAGCAGCGGCCGTTGAGTCGTACTGAGAGCGGCCGCAAATTACTGGGCCCTCGCTATGTGGAAGCTCTGTCGGTATAATCGAGACATGGTAATGAGGATCGTTTCAAGACCGGCCCAAAGATATCTCATCAATCGGCAGTTCGGGTTGGGTGATAAGCATTAATATCCCACATGCCGATTTGCGCGTCGCCGCGTACTACACATTTTGTTGTGCAGCAAACGAGCAATTATCCTAGGAGTCCAAGCTTGGACTTGCTGCGATCAACCATCAGAGTCTGCTTCTCACTCAATGTCTGGTCCTAGCAATGCTTGGCCAAGGGGCGGCGGGTGGTGCCGTACGCGAAGAGGCTGGGCGAAAATAGTGGTTGGAAAGTGATCAATGCTGAAGTTTTAGCTGATAAGACTTGACTCAGTCACGGACATGAGATTGGAGATGGGCAATTCATATCATGGACATGCCTGATGGTGAGAGGAAGTGGGTTCACTATGCTTCCATTGTCTTCTGATACTAACAGAAGTACGGGACCGGCCAACCTGACACAATGGGGAACGCGTCGAATATGAGATGAGATTCCTTTGATAGGACATGGCGTAAGTCAGAGATGAAGATATATTCGATACGGTCCCGGCAATAGAGCACAGGTTTGAGATTAATTAATTGGTTCAATTAAGCTCAGATGAGCCCGATATTGCAAACCAGGGGTTACACTATGTTTTGGAATGAGAATCTCCACAAGCTCCTCTTGCGTCCAGCCCTTCAAGCACTGGCGCGCGAATCTATGGTCTGACAATGGTATGGGACTATATCTCCGGCGGAAGAACTATCGTGGGAGCTAGGGACAAGAGGCGAGCTGGACAGGCTAAAAGGGATAGACCATCGGTATCCCTGGGTTCGAGGGATCAGGAAAGGGGGTTTCTTTGACGATCAGGGTCGAGCGATATCTCTGACGGGCTAGGGCAGGGCAGGGCAGGGAACGGGAAGATCACTTACAGTGAAACATGGTACTCCTGAGACATGCCAGAAACGAGGGCAGAGGCAGAAGAGGTTGAACGTTCGTTTCTCCCTGCGACTTTAACCGTTGGCATGTCTCTCTCCCTTCCGTGTCTCGAAGAGGGCATCCCTCGAGCTGGCGGGATGGGATGGGCGGCTGGTAGATTCGCCTAGATCCATCCCCTTCCCTTCCCGCTCGAGACGAACGAGATCTTTGTCTTGTCTTGTCTTGTTCAGTTCAAGTCTCGCCAAGCAAAAGGGACCCCATTTCGTAGCGAGGTCCCAGTGGCATGGCATTGGCATTGGCAGGTCTCAGAGAACTAAAGTAGCGTTCCATTCCAGGTCGCGGGGAGGCGATCCGTAGCACTACGTACAAGGGAGCTCGACCGAAGAACCAGTGAATTTGAATTTTGGAGAATGGAATCGACCATCTTGACGAATGAGAAAATCTGCATGTTCCATCTGATATCGGTATTGAGGCTTGAAGACTCGAAGCTGAGCTTTACTTGAGACATTGATTCACCGACATAAAAATTACAGCAATAAATGGAGCTCAACAAAACCCAGAGTGCGGATGTCAGTCGGTTCACCGCATCTCAAGGTATCTCGGCAGTGGAGAATCTGGTGAGGGGATTCACGAGTATATCGCCAATCTTAATGCATGTCAGTTATCGCCAGACCGACTTATCAAGGTTCTCTGTTACATTCATCGCTTGACAGTTTGTCCCTGCGTAAGCTGAACTCAAATGCAAAGTTTGACGAAAAGTAAAAAAACGTAGTTCTGAAACCCGGTAGCTTTGACTCTAAGCTCTCAGCTGAGGGCCCAATGATCTCAGCAATCAATCAAGGAAAACAGAGCCAAGATGAGCGACTGTCGATGATGGCGATATGGGGCACTTGGTGGATAACATGGAGGCCTTGAGATTCCAGAGCCAAAGAAACAAATGGAGGAGGTGGTATTTCGGTGGATGGCGGATACGTCCCCGGTAGGGCCGGCGGTACAATAGCAGCAGCGCCAGTACCTTAGCTTCAGGCCGTTTCTTTTCTTGGAACACGGGCACACACGAGAAAGCAAAACTCCACTTGATGAGGCGTCAGTCAGCGTCAGCCCAGCTTCTAAGTTGGGATATGGCCGCTGATACATACATACAAAGAGAAGAGACGACGTCGTCTTACGAAGGTTGCATACAAATGCTTCGTTACGAGTCTCGTCTGTCACGTAGCAGCAGTAACACCGATAATGTTTCCTGAGGCGCTGTGGTATTGTTTCCGTTGTTTACGAGGCTTTCATTACAGGAGGGGTCACGATAATTACTGAGCTCTTCAATTGGCCTGTCCATCATTTGCTTTGAGTTTAATGGTTGATTGCAAAGACACCTAGATACCATTTGCCTTTGGGGTGTTGTTGAGCTACCTTCGGTCACATTCCTACAGACCCCAAAGAGCTGATGGCTTTTCAACACCGCTCTCTCTCTCTCTCTCCCTCCGTAGCAGCCATCATGGACGATAACGAGAGAAATGATGATGCCCTGCATGAATGGACTCGAGTCTGTGGATTTTCTCCCTGCGTGGCTTGGGTGGATTGGTGGGTTTGGTGGAGAGCTGACAATAGCTGACTGTGTACGAAAACTACCTTGAGGTAAAAGCCTAGGACTTCTCCATATCGTGAGCGCTAGGCAGAGGAATTGCAGTAGGAGGCACCTAGAATTGTGTGTTGCCGGATCCATTCCTTCGACCTCCTTCGCCCATTTTCCTTTCGAGTATCCATTCTTTGAGATCTCGTCATTGTGCAGAATAAGACGCCTTGGGGAAAGCAAACAAACATGCTATAGGGCCATGCTAAACTCTGTAAAGTGTGAATACTATGTAGGTACTTATGGAATAGAGTTGATGAAAGCCTCTTGTCGAGTTGATGGTGTAGATCCATATCAGTGGTTGTTGCTAAGAAGAGGGGATCACGACATTTCAATAGCCTTTTCTCCTCCGTGGGAATGCACGGGCTGCACCACCCACAGGGAGAAATGGCCGAAGCGTATTCAAGAGAATCGGCAGTTTTTGGGCTTATCTTACGCATGTATTATTGCCTCTCTCTCTCATTCTCTAAAATTAAAAGCCACCAACACGGGGTTTGTTGTTATTTGTTACACGAGCCTCATCAGCTTTTGAGTTGGCTATTGATCATTTATTCTCGTGTACCCTCCACGAGTATGTACCGAGTACAGTCTCTCGGCAAATGGATCATCGCGCCATCCTCAAAATGAGGCACAAGGAGCTACAAGGTCCGGCACCTACTGAACAAAGGAAGAACGGCGTTTCTGGCACCGCAGGCCCGTCAACTGCTGTAACTACCTAATACTAACGGGCGGACTGAACCAAACCAAAAGGTCTCACGGCCTCCGATTGATCAACCCCCTTTTTTTGGAAACTCGAACGGTCGATGGGGCTCCGTACAGGCCCGGACAGCGCTGTGTCAGATCGTATTCCGCCAATGAGACCTGCGGCATGCGCTGTGGGGGAGATTCCTAAGCCCCCCTGCAGTCGAGGTGCGTGTCGCTCGGTGGCGTAACTTGCGCCCCCTGAAAGCCTGAGCCTGTTCCAGGAGGGGCTCCCGGCACCAGAAGGGTCCTATCCGAGAGCACCTTCCCTCTTTAGGCTCCCAAAACGAGTTCAGGGGTGGTCTTGGTACCCCATCTCAGGGGTTGTTGCCTCAGGCAGTTGCATCTACCGAGCCGTGCCCCTCCAAACTCTCAACGTGTCCTCAAGAGATAAAGAGGGCCTGTCCGCTCCATCCTACCAAGCTGATGTGTCCTCTCCATTCCCAAACGACAAGCACCCAGCAAATCAAGGTCGCTAATACAGAGTGAACACGCTGTCCTTATTCCTCTTGAAGCTCCTTTCCAACCATCACCTGACCTGACTCATAGTTGATCAAGGCAGACGTAATCAAGGTCTAGTCACTGACTCACACTTTGGCCAAGTCTTGTGATGGTGGAACATCGCTGCCTGCGCCTCATACATCTCTAATAACAGCTACTTATCCCCATAATATCCGTTGCTGTATCTGAACTCCAGATTCTCCATTCAAACAAACCACACATCACCTAATCACAAACAAACAAACAAACAAACACAATCATGGAGCAACAAGGGTCACCAGCTTCCCAATTCTTCCAGTCTCCAGCCGACTCTCTCATGTCAGCTCCCGAAGACGCCTACACATCACTCTTCTCCGCTACCACCCCTAGCGCAGCCTCAACAGTGAACCCCATGGACATGTTGACACCAAAGTCATACAACGATGACTCTCTACTACCAATGATCAAGCAGGAGGAGGGCGTTGTATCAACACCATCCCCTTCTCCAGCCCCTGAGAAGAAGACAACCAAGAAGAGAAAGTCATGGGGCCAAGTCCTTCCCGAGCCCAAGACAAACCTCCCTCCTAGGTATGAACCAACGACAGCTGAAGATGATGTCACCAACGGTTCCACTAACTACCCATGCAGAAAGCGAGCAAAGACCGCTGATGAAAAGGAGCAACGCCGAGTTGAGCGCGTTCTACGGAACCGTCGCGCGGCTCAGTCCTCCCGTGAACGCAAGAGGCAGGAGGTTGAGCAGCTCGAGAAGAGGAACAAGGACCTCGAGGCTGCCATTCAACAGGCTGAGCAGATGAACGCCAGGCTCATGGATGAGCTTGCACAGATGCGAAAGGCCAGTGGTCTTCCCCCTCTGTCCCAGGAGCTCTTCAGCCCCCAAACCACACACCAGCCAGCGGAGACCATGGTATCTCCCAACGCCACTGTCGACCCAATGGCACTATCCCCCTGTCTATCACCCGTCCCCGAAGAATCTGAAGAGACCCTCCATCAGGAGCCGGCCAACGAGACAACCCTGGAACAGTCTGAAAACACCTCTCCCGACCTGACACAACGTCCTGCTGCGATGTTGTCCGACCTGCAGTGTCACATGTCGGCGGAGGTGTCGAAGATGTTCCTGTCCCAGTCACCCACAACCTTGACTCAGCCAACATTGGCCTGGCTCCTGCCACTTCAGATGACACTCTTTTCAGCTGTGGCGGTTCTGAATTTCTGTCAACGTCCCTTGACACAGATCGCTATCTCATTGAAAACGGGCATCTCTCTTCACCCTTCTCCTCAGCTACTGACGAGCCTTATCTGGACTTTGACACGTCTTCGTTCACCCTCGACAACAGCTTCAACGACGAATTGTACAACACCTTCATCAACGACACGGACAACGGCATCTCGGTGGAGCTCCAGAAGCCGACCGACGACGCCGCTGCGATCCTCAGCGACGAGTTCCGCATCTACGAACTTGAGAATCAAGTCTCTTCGGAAAATCCTATCCAGCAGCCCCTCCCTGGCGCGTCCTCTCATGGATGCGACGTTGGTGGCATTGCGGTTGGTGTCTGAGGGATGCGATTCCAGGGTCGAGGATGCGGAGCGCGAGACTGAGGATTCGCGCGGCCAAGACGAGTTGGTAAGGTGCTTATCCGAGATTACTTTGCCGTCGCGTGAACTGTTGGTGACACTCCTCTGGGCACTTCGCTTAGAGGAGGCCCGAATTCAGCGTGAAGCTGGCGAGGTTCTCGACCCTGAGACTCGCTCCCCACTACGTGTACATCAACCGAGCAAGAAGGCTGCTTTGTCAGTGATATTGGAGGAAGAGAACAATCGGGTACAGACATTATGAGAGTTATATCCATGATGATCTACCGTAATGTGATAATGTTTTGATTTGGGAAAAAAATAGGTGCAAGGCGCAAAGGATCAATGTCCCACGGGGGACTGGCAATAAAGCCCCAACAGTTAAATCTTTTGTGTAACAATACAATGAACGCTCAAAGAAGCGAATGACCAACAATATTTGTTCCATCCTCGTGATACTGGCCTTTGCCTCGAAGGTCAACTTGAGTGTTGACAGGGCTGTGATACAGTTTGAAGTCGTCGTGGCACATGACACTTCAATGTTGAGTGCGAGGAGCTTCATACTTCCAATAGAGGTGCAATGAAGAGGTGCCAGTATCGAAGAAAATTGCACCTTAGGTCAACTTTGTTTTTAAGCATTGGGCCCATTTGTAGTTTTCGGTATCTTTCATCGTTTTATATCTCCGCCTGGTAGCTTCTAGTATCATTTGAAGTCGAACAAAGATATTTCTCGAGATTGACAAGATAATAGCTAATAATGCCAATGTGAAGACAACAGGTGCCTGGTATATGATCCAATTGATGTTCAATGACATCCACCAAAGTCCAGAGACAGAAACTCATGCTTACTCATACGCCCAACGCCAAACTATCATAATCTCTCTTGGAACTTTACCATAACCCATCCATTTCTTGCATAGCCGCCTCTTCATCATCAAAATTGTTCATCTCCTTATCTTTCGACCCTTGACTCTTCTCTTTGCTCGTCTGATCATGACTCTCAGCTTCCGCCATCAGCGCATCTAGATCTTCGTCATCCGGTTCAACCCGTGCTGCTTCTGGTTTCTTCGCTGTATCTTGCACTTCTGCCTCAGCCATGAGTGCATCTAGGTCATCATCATCTGGCTCTGCTGGTGTAGGTTTCGTTTTCGCTTTTTGAGCTTCGTCGTGGCTTGCTGCTTCAGCAATAAGAGCCTCGAAATCATCGTCTTCTGGAACCTCGTTGCGGATGGGGACAATTGGCCCTGCGCTTCGTTTTGCAGCTCGCGGTGTAGCACCGTAAAGATCGTCATCGTCTGGTACACCTGTGTCTTGCTCTGGTGTTTTCGGTCTTGCAGGTTCTGCTGGTCTCGTACCCTCCTGGTCCGTAGGTCTTGATGTATCGTTTTCACCAAACAAGTCATCCTCTTCCTCATCATCTGCAGTTCTGTCTTTGGGCTTGCTCTCGTTTATGTAATCGTTTCGTGCAATCATGACTCGTTTCTTGTGGCCGGCCTTTTCGACCATAGCAAGAGCGTCGAGGAATTTGGCTTTGGGGAAGAGGTCGTCTAGCCATAATTGATAGAAGGATAGAAGCCGAGAGGCGTCAGAGAACTGAACTGACTGTTAACGTGTTTGAAATGTGCTAGTTGGCAGGATAGTGGCATACTTCGTGGCCTTTGCCCTTGATTTTGAGATCCTTCGCCCTTTGCCTTAGCTTGGGAATACCTTTGGGTCCAAGTAATCTACGTATTGTCAGAATCACTTGAGACAAAATAGTATTATACTTCCGTACCTCTCTTCGTCGAGTTTCACATTGGGGACTCGCGCCCTCTTCTTGACATCAACCTCCTCGTCGATACCGAGGCCAGAATCTGGCTCTTTTCGCTTCTTGTTGGCGGCTTCTGGTGGTGGTGATGCAAAGGGGTCGTCGGAAAAGTCGTCAACATCGTAGTTATCAAGCCCATTGGCGGGATCCGAGTCTAGTGTGGGCATTTTGTATTGTGACTGTACCTAAAGTCTGGTGAACTCAATTGCTTAACGCGTCTTGAATTGGGGAGACGCGTCGAGAGCTTAATTGATTCTCAACCCCACCATTTCCCACGTGACCAATCATCGCCACCTTTGATGAGCTGACCAAAGCACGTGATCTATATCCTCAGGCATCCAATCTGGCTCCAGCTTCTGAATGTACCGAAACCGACGACCTCGAAAGGCCTTGGTGATAGTATTCAAGGAATTGACTGCCACGGACGACGCATAACACAATGGCTGAGACAGCGACAAAGCAGTCGACCCCGTCCTTTGTCGGGACCAGCAAGGTCGTTCAGACCGAGTATCCCGTAAGTGACGCTTCAATTGATGGAGTAATTGCAGCTGCTAACTGATGATGTTATAGCTCATCGATAACGATCCGTACGTAACCTGAACCCCTCGATATCCAGCGACGACGATACGAATGGATTTGAATGCTTTGGAGGATTGAATTGCCTGGATTGGAGTTGGGTTGAGCTTTGCTGATCCTAGGCAGTCACTTCAAGCGAGTCGTGGGTTATGCCCGTACATCCGATTACATCGCCGGCACCGTCGCCGCTGCTTTCGCTCCCACTGCTCTCTACGCTCTCGAGAAGTTCGCTCCCTCACATGTAGGAAAGGGCGGTTTCCCAAAGGCCATGCGACTGGCTGGTGGTGTTGGTCTCTTGGGTGGATTCCTCTACTTCTACCAGCGATCAGCCCGTACGTTTACAACACCGAATGATATATCGACAAGGTGAACTAATCTGAATAGTCCGATTCTACGGTGCTACGGAGAACGCTCGAGAGATTGAGATGGATATGCGCGAGATGGTCGATAAGGTCAAGAACGGCGAGCCTCTATATGGCGTCAGCCGGCTAAGCCCTCATCTTCAGGGTGTTGCTGCCCGACAAAGCAGATACTCTGCTCTGTTCCTCAGCACAATTCCTTGGTTCAACTTTGTCAACCATAACCAGCATGGTGTTGATACAGCCAAGTACTACCAACAGGCTGAGCGGGAACTTGAGGCTGAGCGCTCGTAAGAGAGGAGGGAGAGAGATTAAGATTTACGGAGAGCGAGAGGAGGATTGGATGGGAAAAGAGGTGTATATTACCAGCGGAGGTGGGCATTGCCTCGACGGCCTGGCGAGTTTATTTGTGACATGGAAATAGATTCCTTGAACCATTTGTTTGTCTCATGTTGGTGTTTTTATGACGAGCTTGACAATTTAGGCTTGAAAGACGGTAAGTTGATTAGCTTAGGCATCTTGTTTCACAGGGAATGAGCTGCAGTGGACTTGATGGGCCTTGTGCATCTCTGATATCGAAGAGTCAAGATATAGCACAGGCACGTAGAGCATTGGACAACCTTGATCCTGAGCCTCATGCTATGGGCTGTCACTACCAGACTCTTATCCTATTTACATTGTTCTTCCAGTTTGAACATGAGATGGACGTTTGTTACTTGAGATATCCTATGTCCGCTTAACGCCTGTTTTAGTGAATGATAGCTAGCTAGGCCAACTGACTGGCTCGCTTTCCACTCGCACTGGAGATACGGGCCAAGAATACGTAAACGGCAAGAGCCTATTCTCAACAAGTTGTTCATAGGAAATGTTTCGTGTCTGAATGTAACATTCTCATGACAAGTCCGTTCAATTCCGCCCAAGTCCGTTCCTCATGATCAGTTTCTATCGGGGACCGGCCAACTCCGTCTTTGGACCACTAGCTCCCGACCAATCAAAGCTCGTGTAATCGACGTTTCTCCCAAAGAACACAGATTCAAACCGCAACAGCTTCCCAAAGTGGAACACCAAGAAAAGAATTTTTGTTGTTTCGCTGAAACCTCATTTTCTACCTTCTTCTCATATATATTCTGCTGCGAAATCTGGATAACTTAAGCGCTGATCGTGGTGTCGACATCTGCTTATCTCACCTGTCATCGTATCTCAGTCACTCCAAACCAACAACCTCACAAAATGGCTTCAGCAGAACAATCCATGGATCTCCCCGTGATCGACCTCGATGTCTATCTAAACAACCCTCTCGACTCAGAAGCAGTTCAAGAAGAGTGCAGAAAAGCAGCCAACGCCCTCATCACATATGGTGCTCTCGTCCTTCACGACAGCCGAGTCTCAGAGGAGGATAACTCAACTTTCCTCGACATTCTTGAAGATTACTTTGCTCAACCCGAAGAGGTTCTCAGAAAAGATGAGAAACCTGAGCTTAGCTATCAGATTGGCGTCACGCTAGAAAATACTGAAAAGCCCAAGTGTGCTGTTGATGAGCCATGCCTTGATGTCATTCAGAGACTCGACCCTTCACAAAGACCGTTGGATATCTCAGCTCACTCACCTGACCCCAAGTGCAGATTCTTCTGGAGAATGAGCGAGCAACCCCCTTTTGAGACCGAGTTCCCTGGATTGAACGCCCCGAACGTGGTCCCTGAAGCCCCTCATATCAGAGGCCGATGGGAGCCAGCCATGAACCAGTGGGGGACGTCCATGAAGAGCGCGTATGGCACTGGATCCCCTCTCTTGGATACCTGATACTGACCGGCTGAACAGTGTGTCGAAACTGGCAGAGATGACCGCCGTTGGGCTGGATCTACCGGCCCAGTTCTTCAGTGATGCTGGAAAATACGGGCAAGTACCCTTAAAACATCATAGTAGTCCCCAAAACTCACATGCGCAAACAGACCTCATCTTCTTGCCCCGACAGCTTCAGACCTGGTCAAGTACGGTGAGAAGAACACCATTCTGGCTGGTTTCCACACAGATCTCAACTTCCTCACCATCCATGGACGCTCCCGCTATCCTGGTCTTCACATCTGGGCACGCAACACCGGAAACCGTATTGCCGTCAAGATCCCACCAGGAAACTACCTTCTCGTCCAAGCGGGCAAGCAGATCGAACACATCACTGGTGGTCTCATCAAAGCTGGCTTCCACGAGGTTATCGTGAATGAGAAGACCATTGAAACCATTGAGAAGAGGAAGCGTGACTTCCCAGATAGACCTCTGGTCAGAATCTCGAGTACCTTATTCTGGCATCTCGGCAGTGACGTCGATCTCAACCCCGTTCCCAAGCTCGTAGCCAGGGCAAAGGAAGTTAGAGAGCGACAGAAAGAGCTTGGAAGAGACGAGGGACGAGAGGTTGAGTATCCTCCCATGAAAGTTGGACACCAAGTGCAGGAGTACGTTGACCTCTCCAAACAATGACGATCGATGCTGATCCATGTCTTAGGGAACTGAAGCACATCGCTTTGATGG